GGTCATGATGAATGATTTTCTTGATATGTTGTTGGAGTCTATTGGCTAGGATTTTGTTGAAGATTTTTGCATCTATATTCATGAGGGATATTGGTCTGTACATACACGTTTTAAGGAATCAAACATTGAAGAGGGTGCCTAAAATAAGGGGGCAGAATGAGAGTGGAGAAGAAAAGGAGTAGAAGAATAAAGAGCAGGGAGGAGGTCTGTGATGACAATGTTTTAAGAACTGAGAAGTGTGATGAGCCAAATTCTCTGCACTTGGGAGTCCAGAATAAAATAAAATCCACATGGCCTAAGAGCAGGACAAGCTTGAGGTGACAGGATATGGTGTGGTAAATTACTTAGTGTGGCTTTTCTAGCCATAAATCTTTGTAAACTCTGTGGTAGAATTTGCTGTGAGCACCTGAGGAGCTCCTGATTGTAAAAGTTATCCACCTGGGGTATTTCTGTTGGGCGCAACACAAAGCAATGTTCCGGGAGGTTCCTGCTGTCTCTCAGATACTTAGAATTCTGATGTTACGATTGGTTAGTTTGGTCACTCTGCCAGGCTCAAAAGGAGGCCTCCTAGAAGCAGACAAAGTCTCTTTCTGACTGCTTGTTGTGGAAGACGTGCTGCTGAAAGAGACACGCCTTCCTGAAAGAGACACGCGCTGCTGGGAAAGAGACGCAAGAGACACACATTGCTGAGTGAGACACTGAGGGGCACTCACTGTTCAGAGAGAGACTGTGAGAGACTGCTAGGAGAGAGACTGTGGGTTGGGAAAGAGACTGAGCATTTTTCCTGAACTTGAATTGTAGCCTGGTGCTTCCCTAATAAACACCATAATCTGTAAGTTTTGTGTGGCCACTGCAGTGAATTATCGAACCCAGGAGAGAGGTGTTGGGTGCTTTGGGAGGAACGGTTGGCGAAAGGGCTGAAGGGAGGCAGCCTGTCTGGCCTTGCAGTAATAGGCCTTGGGCTATTGACGGTGATTCTGACTTGTTCTTGTGGGGTTAGAAGAGGTCAGAAGATGTGGCTTCCTTGCCTTTTTTGCACAGGACAAGGAAAGGATATGAGCCCTGTGTGCACAGGAACTTGGAAACCCAGGAACCTGAAAACTTCAATTAGCCTGGGCTCTTTGGTTTTTTCTTTTTCTTTTTTTTTTTTTTAGTTTCATCAATAAATCACTTTATTTTAAAGAATGTTGTTGTTGTTGTTATGTGCCGTTGAGTCGGCCCCAACTCATAGCGACCCCTCCTTGGGTTGCCAAGGCAATATCACTATGGAAGTAGATTGCTCAACCTTCCTCAGGAGTGGCTGGTGGGTTTGAACCGCCAGCCTTCTGGTTAGCAGTCAAGTGCCTTAGGCACTATGCTATGAAATAAGTTACAATTAGTTACACTAAGTAGAATTACTGAACAATATGAGTAGTTAGCAAAGATGTCACTTTGATGACTGAGGTACACCTGATCCAAAAATATTTTCAGTCACCTCATATGCATGTGAAAGCTGGACAATGAACAAAGACCAAAGAAGAATCGATGCATTAAGGTGTTGGTGAACAATACTGAATGTACTGTGCACTATACTGTAATGTGGACTGCCAGAAGAATGAATAAATCTGTCTTGGAAGAAGTACAGCTAGAATGCTCCTTAGAGGCAAGAACAGCCAGACTGTCTCAGGTACTTTGGACATGTTATCAGTAGGAACTAGTCCCTGGAGAAGGACATCATAATTGATAGAAGGCCAGCCAAAAAGAGGAAGACCTTCAACAAGATAGGCTGACACACTGGCTACAACCAACAATGAGCTCAAATATGGCAATGATTGTGAGGAGGTGCAGGGCCAGGCAGTGTTTCATTCAACTGCTGTACGTAGAGTTGCTATGAGTCAGAACCGACTCCATGGCACCTATAGCAAGAATAAGTAAATGTGTGGAATCTCTGGGTGGCATAAATGGTTAAATGTTCTAGTCTACCCAGAGATGCTTTAGAAGAAAGGCCTGGTGGTCTACTTCCAAAAAAACAAAGTAGCCACTGAAAACCTAAAGGAGCATGGCTCTACTCTTGCCACACATGGGGTCACCTCCAGTTGGAATTGACTCAATGGTAACTGGTTCAGTAAATGTGTGGATCTATGTATGTCTTCAGTTTCTCTTTGTATTCTTTTGTTTCCCCTGAGTTTCTCAGTAAAGTTCCTCTTGAAAAGATCCCTATGTTCTAGGTGAACCAAAGGAAGAAGTTTCTCCTTGTAACATGTAATGAGGGAAAGAAAGTACCCCTTAGAAACCAAGAATGGTGGTGGCAACACAAGAGACCGAAAGGCCCTAGTCAGAGCAGAAGATACGGGGACTGGAATGGAAGGCGCTGGTTTCTTCCCTAGAGGGCCACTTCTGAGACAGCTTAAAATATGCCAGAATATCACAGAAATAGGGTTGGGGAATCTATCTTTGATCTACTGCAGGCACACCAGCCATGTGTAAGAACAGGGTAAGGGTCACCTTTCCCTTCTCAAAGCATGGCGTTCCTATGAGAGAAGAGCCAGAGAGGAAGGCAGACAATCCAGTCTCTCAGAAGGAAGGAGAAAGCATTCTGCTCCTCCCTGTAGAAATCCCCGTAGACCAAGGCAAAGAGCTGGCAGCAGTAGGCACCCAGAAAGATCCTTTAGACGTGACAAGAACACACAATAGCATGAGCAGGGAGAAGTGAGGATAGCATTTAAAATTTATCACAACAAAGGCACTAGAATCTCATTTTTTGCAGGCATAATATGCTGGCAGGAGGCCTGGTGTAGCCTCAGTCCTTGCTGTTGCTGGTGAGGCTCAAATCCTTTATTGGGCTCTTACCCTCAGATGGTCAAATGACTTCTTTAAAGTGTTGAAGAGAGGATGTCTCTTTGAAGACTCAGGTGAGCCTAACCCAAGATAATGCATATGAAAGCTGGACAATGAATAAGGAATACCGAAGAAGAGTTGATGCTTTTGAGTTGTGGTATTGCCAAAGAATACTGAAAGTACCATGGACTGCCAGGAGAATGAATAAATCTGTCCTAGAGGAAGTGCAGCCAGAATGCTCCTTGGAAGCAAGAATGGCTAGAGTTCGTCTCACCTACTTTGGTCATGTTGTCAGAAGGAACCATTCCCTGGAGAAGGGTCTCATGCTTGGTAAAGTGGAGGGTCAACGAAAAAGGGGAAGGCCCTCAACGAGATGGACTGACACAGTGGGTACAACAATGGGTTCAGGTATAGCAAGGATTGCGAGGCTGGTACAAGACCGGGTATTGTTTTGTTCTGTTGTAAATGAGGTCGCTATGAGTTGGACGACACCTAACAACAACAACACCTCACTGTGGTAGAGAGAATTCTAAAGAGGCTCCTCCCAAGATTCCCCTGGTTATTCAATCAAACACTCTAGGTACTGTTTAAAAGGATTCTGCAGATGTAATTTAAGTCCCAAGTTAGCTGACCTTAAGATACAGAGATTATCCCAGTGGGCCTGATCCAATCACACAAGCCCTTTAAAAGTAGAGTTTTCTCCAGCTGGTGACAGAAAAAGAAAGAGACATGTTCCTGCTGGCCTTGAAGTAAAAGTAAACTACCATGTGGCAAACTGCATATGGGGGCCTTGTGCCAAGAAATGAATTCTCCAAACAACAAAGAACTTGGAAAAGGACCCCCACGCCTCAAGGGAAGACACCCTGGATTTCAGCCTATGAGACCTGAGCAGAGGATCAAGTTAACCAGAATCCATCGAACTGTGAGACAACAAATGGGTACTGTATTACAGTCTGCATGTGTGCTAACTGGCAGCAACAGAAAACTAACACACACACACACATCCCACCACCCATCTCATCATTGCTCTTCTGTTTTCAGCAGTTACAGAAGCCCCCTGGCCTTTCCCTCCCGTCTATCCACACCCCATAACCCACCCCACAACACCCGTCCTGCTCCTCTGCTCCCCAGCACCCACCTGGCCCTGCGCTTGCGCACCCTCCGCTCATGCTCAGCCTCCTCATAGTAGTACTCATTGTGGCTGTTGTCCCGCCTCCGGGCTGCCGCTGCAATCACAGCCCGAGACTGGCCCGTAGAGTTGTTGGTGCTGTTTTCTGCACAGGAGCAGGGTAGAGAGGGGATGGTCACATCAGAACATGACTTTACTTCCCACATGGGAGCTCTGGGGACAGCAACTTGCCATCTGCCATGTCCAGAGAAAGCTGTTCCCACACCCATCCCTCCAGGCCACCTTTGAGAGCGGCCCATGGGAAAGCAATGAGAAAGGCACTGGGAAGGCATGAGTTCACACAGGTTACTCCCTGGTTCAGGAGGCTCTGGAGCTCAGATGGTCAAATGGCTTAGAACCAGGGCTGATGAGCAGACACAGGAGCCAGACTGGGGGACACATAATAGCATAAAGGGGCAGTGAGTGGAATCAGTAGCCTAAGACCAGCCACCTGGACTCAAGGAAAATGACAGAACAGAAGGGGTTGGGACGAAGGAAAAAGCAAGGGAAGAGGGGAGAGAAAGAACAGAGAGGAGGTGGCTTGGAGTCCTGCCTGGGGAGACACCAGGAGGGGCAGAGGAGCAGGGCTGCTCACCCTCTCCGAGGGAGTACACCTTGAAGCCAGACACTTTCTTGGCCAGGACGGACTTAGGCAGGTTGAGGAGGGCAGGGTTGTAGACAGGGAAGTCATGGTAATACTTCTCCAGGATCCACACTGCCACGCGCTGGATGCTGTGGGGGAGACAGCAGGAGGGGGAGGGAGAAGGGACAGACAAGGGGCACAGGGGAAGGGACACATCAGGGTAGGCTGACAGGGCAGGAAAGGACACAGGACAGGGACAAGCGGCTTCAAAGAAGCCTAACTCAAGACCTAAGGTCTACTTACCAGGCTCTCAATAGGAGCCTTTTCCAGGACTGGGCCTGCTAGTCTTTCCTTGCTGAAAGACTTGCTGAAGCCCAGGGGAGAAAGGGCATTGGGTCTTCGTCCCCAGCCAAGGGTCACCTCATGCCTGCCCAGCATCCTCCCCCTTCGAGATTCTCTCAGGATCCAGGAGAAGCTACTAAAATGCTGGATGACCCAGAGGGCATCTTGCCCACAATTTATGGAATGCTAAACAATTCTCCTATTATTCTTCCTTTGGGGCCCCCTCCTCTGGCCAGCTCACATCAGTGACCACTCACTGAGTACTCACAAGAAGCTGTGCCTCTAAGAAAGGGCTAGAAAGGGATTTCCAGCCCCAGTTCACACCCACACCTTTCTCCCCTTTGGCCCATTCTCACTGACATAAATCTCTAATGGCCTGTTTCATCCTCCTATCTCCTAATTCCCACACCATCTTGCCCCAGGAGTCAACACATATCCTTTTAGAACAAGGAGCAAATAGTGTTGAAATCACACTCCATGAAAAGTATTCAATTCCTTCCCATCACTACCTCCTGCCCTAACAGGCCTCAAAGCTGCCCCACCTGCACCCTACCTGCTCCCAGACATCATACCTGAGGTGGCCGACATTGTAGAAGCGGCTGGCCCCATCCGTGGAGCGCACAACCTTGAGTGTGAACTGCGGCTGGAGCTGGCGCAGCTCCAGCAGGACCACAGCCAGGTAGTGCACGAAGAGCAGGGCATCCACCAATGACACGGCAAACTGCACCACACCCTGGTAGCTGCGCTCCCGCGCATCCAGGATGCGCACGCCATAGAAGAGCCAGTAGGAGACGACGAGCAGGAAGACGAGCACCATGAGCAGGGCACGCAGCACAAAGACGCGGGGCAGCGAGGCCTTGGGCCGGCGGAAGAATAGGGCCCAGCTGCCCAGCAGCAGGATGAGCAGCTTGAAGGCCACAGAGATGAAGAGGCCCTCACAGGCTGTCCCGCATGGCTCCAGCTCCTCCCGCCACAGTAGTGGGGGCAGCAGTAGGAACGCCAGTGGCGTGAGGAAAGACAGGAGTGCCAGAGTGGCTCCTGCTGCCACTCCCAGGTGCCGAGAGCAGTCCAGTGGGACACTGTCTTCCATGTCCTTGGCGATGCGTGTGAGGTCATCATGGGAGATGCTGTGCTCTGATGTGCCTGTTACTACTGTTGTTGTTTCCCCCCAGTTGTCATCCTATGAGCAGGAGGGGGCCACCCAATGGTGAGAGGAAGGGGATAGATGAGGAGAGAGAACAGATATGGGACAAAGGATGAGGGAAGAGAGGCAGAGAGAGAAGCATGGGAAAGGAGAAGGCAGAAAGAAGAGAGGGTAATAAACAAATATGCAATCATTCAAGTATTTATTGAACTCCACTGTGTGCCCAAGCCTGGCCTCTGCAAATATCAGAAGTATGTTGTATTGTTGTGGTTACTGTTAGCTGCTGTAGAGGTGGTTCCCAAGTCATGATGACCCCATGCACAACACAACACAACACAACATGACCTAATTCTGCACCATCCCTATAATCAGATGTGGATCAGGCTGTTGTGATCGAGTTTTCACTGGCTGGTTTTCAGAAGTAGATCATCAAGCCCTTCTTCCTAGTCTGTCTTTGACTAGAAGTCCGCTGAAACCAGTTCAACATCATGGCAACACACAAGCCTCCACTGATAGACAGGTGGTGGTTGCACATGAAGTGCATTGGCCAAGAATTGAACCCAGGTCTCTCATATGGAAGGTAAGAATTCTACCACTGAACCACCACTGCTCCCTATCAGAAATATAAACTCAAACTCACTGCCCTCAAGTCAGATCCAACTCATAGCGACCCCTCCTTGGGTTTCCGAGGCTGTATCACTACAGAAGTAGATTGCCCAATCTTCCTTCCCAGGAGTGGCTGGTGGGTTTGAACCGCCAGCCTTCTGGTTAGCAGTCAAATGCCTTAGGCACTACGCCACTAGAGCTCCCATCAGAAGTATAAGAGTTGGTTATTCAGCCACAAAGAGAAATGATGTTCTGACACATGCTATGACGTGAATGAACGTTGGAAATATTATGTTGAGTGAAATATGTCAAACAAAAAAGGACAAATATTGACAAGAACAGCAATAATGATAGCACAACCTGAAAAATGTCATCAATGTCCCTGGGCTGTAAACATGGAAGGTGTTTTGCTAGTGAATATCTTTGTGTGTATAAGTTCACCACAATAAATGTTTTTAAAAAAAAAAAGGACAACTATTGTATGATCCCATTTATAAGCAGGAGCTCTGGTGGTGTAGTGCCTAAGGCATTTAACTGCTAACCAGAAGGCTGGCAGTTCAAACCCACCAGCTACTCCTCAGAAGGAAGACTGGACAATCTACTTCCATAGAGATACCACCTCAGAAACCCAAGTAGGGGTCGCTATGAGTCAGTACCAACTCGACACAGTGAGTTTGGTTTTTATATATATGCAAAGAAAACTACTGTAAGAAATGGAAGAATATACCAACCATGCTCATGGACTGGAAGACTTAACATTGGGAAAATGTCAATACTACCCAAAGTGATCTATAGATCTAAAACAATCGCAGACCAAATTTTAACAGCATTCTTTAACAAGATGGAAAAGCTAACTACCAACTTCATGTGGAAAGAAGCCCCAGATAAGTAAAGCATTACTGAAGAACAAAGTAGGAGGTCTCACATGCCTGATCTCAGAATCTACAGCCACAGTGGTCAAAACAGCCTGATACTGACACAATTACAGACATATAGACCAAGGGACAGAACTGAGATGCCAGACATAAATCCATCCACCTATAGGACAACTGATCTTTGACAATGGGTCAAAGTCCATTAAATGGGGAAAAGACATTATCTTTAACCAAAGGTGCTGGTGAAACTGGATGTCTATCTGTAGAAAAATGAAACAGGACCCATACCTTACACCACTCACAAAAACTCAAAATGAATCAAAGACCTAAATAAAAACCTAAACTATAAAGATCATGGAAGAAAAAATAAGGACAAAGCAACAGGCCCTAATAGATGGCATAAACAGAACACCAAACATAACTAAAAACACATAAACAGCAGAAGATGAACTAGATAAGTACTGTTGCTGTTAGGTGCCAGCTAGTCAGTTCCAACTCATAGTGACCCTATGTACAACAGAATGAAACACTGCCCAGTCCTGAGCCATCCTCACAGTCATTGCCATGCCTGAGCCCTTCATCATGGCCACTGTGTCAATCCGTCTCATTGAGCATCTTTCCCTTTTTTCGCTGACCCTCTACTCTATCAAGCAGGATATCCTTCTCCAGGGACTGGACTGCTGATCTGACAATATGATCAAAGTATGAGAGACACAAACTGGCCATTCTCACTTCTAAGGAGCATTCGGCTCTACTTCCTCCAAGACAGATTTGTTTGTTCTTCTAGCAGTCTATGGTACATTCGATACCACAATTTAAATTCATCCGTTCTTCTGCAGTCTTCCTTATTCACTGTCCAGCTCTCACATGCATATGAGGCTATTAAAAATGCCATGCCTTGGGCCAGGTGCACCTTATCTTCAAAGCAGTATCTCTGCTCTTTAACATTTTAAGAGGTCTTTTACAGCAGATTTGCCATATGGAATACGACCTTTAATTTCTTGACTGCTGCTTCTATGGGTGCTGATTGTGAATTCAAGTAAAATGAAATCCTTGACAACTTCAATCTTTTCTCCATTTATCATGATATTGCTTATTGACTCAGTACTGAGGATTTTTGTTTTGTGTTGAAATGTAATCCATATTGAAGGCCGCAGTCTTCGATCTTCAACACTAAGGGCTTTAAGTCCTCTACACTTGCAGCAAGCAAGGTTGTGTCATCTACATATTGCAGGTTGTCAACGAATCTTCCTCAAATCCTGAGGCCACATTCTTCTTCATATAGTGCAGCTCACTCAGCATACAGACTGAGTAACAATGGTACGAGGACAACCCTGACACATACCTTTCCTGATTTTCAACTATGCAGTATCTGACTGACTCTTCATCTATGTTCAGGCTCCTCATGAGCACAATTAAGTGTCCTGGAATTCCCATTCTTCCCTAAGTTATCCATAATTTGTTACAATCCACACAGTCGAATAATTTTGCATAGTCAATAAAACACAGGTAAACATCTTTCTGGTATTCTTTGTTTTCAGCCAAGATCCACCTGACATTCAAAAAAAAAAAAAAAAATTACATTAGTAATGATTATCTCTGGTTCTACATCTTCTTCTGGATCCCACTTGAATTTCTGGCAATTCCCTGTCTAAGTATGTTGCAACCATATTTTAATTATCTTCAGCAAAATTTTACTTGCATATGTTATTAATGATATTGTTCAATAAATTCCTCATTCTGTTGGATCACCTTTCTTTGGAATAGCACAAATATGGATCTCTTCCAGTTGGTTGGCCAGGTAGCTGTCTTCCAAATTTCTTGGCATAAACAAGTGAGTGCCTCCAGTGATGCATCTCCTCTTTGCTGAAGTATCTAAATGGGTATTTTGTCAATTCCTGAAGCCCGTGTTTTTCACCAATTCCTTCAGTACAGCTTAGACTTCTTTCAATATCACTAGTTCTTGATCATATGGTACCTCCTGAGATGGCTGAATGTCAAACAATTCTTTCTGGTACAGTGACTCTGTAAGGAGTTCTGGTGGTGTGGTGCCTAAGGCATTTGACTGCTAACCAGAAGGTTGCAGGTTCAAATCCACCAGCCACTCCACAGAAGGAAGACTGGGCAATCTATTTCTGCAAAGATTTACTGCCTCAGAAACACAAAGGGAGTTGCTATGAGTCAGAATTGACTCGATGGCAATTAAGTTTAGTTTCTTTGGAAGTGACTCTATTCCTTTCATCTTCTTTTGATGCTTCCTGCATCATTCAGTATTTTGCCTAGAGCATTCTTCAATATTGCAGCTTGAGGCTTGAGTTTTTTCTTCAGCTCTTTCTGCTTGAGAAATGCCAAACATTTTCCTCTCTTTTGATTTTCTAACTCTGGGTCTCTGCACATCTCATTAGAAAACCTTACTTTGTCTTCTCAAGCTGCCCTTTGAAATCTTCTGTTTGCTTCTTTTACTTCATCATTTCTTCCATTCACTTTTTTTTTTTTTTTCCATTCATTCTTCCAATCAAGAGCAAGCTTCAGAGTCTCTTGTGACATCCATTTTGGTCTTTTCTTCCTTTCCTGTCTTTTTAATGACCTTTTGCTTTCTTCATGTATTATTTCCTTTATATCACCCCACAACTGTTCTGGCCTTTGGTCACTGGTATTCAATGCATCAAATCTATTTTCCAGATGGTCTCTAAATTCAGGTGGGATATAATCAATGTCATATTTTGGCTCTTGTTGACTTGTTTTAATTTTCTTCAGCTTCAACTTGCATATGAATAATTGATGGTCTATTACATAGTTAGCCCCTGGCCTTGTTCTGACTGATGATACTGAGCTTCTCCATTGTCTCTTTACACAGATGTAGTCGATTTGATTCCTGTGTATTCCATCTGGTGAGACCCATATGTATATTGAGATCCACTATTTATATTGTTGAAAAAAGGCATTTGCATTTAATAAATCATTAATTGGTCTTACAAAATTCTATCGTGATCTCTGGCATCATTTCTATCACCAAGGCCATATTTTCCAACTACCAATGCTTCTTTTTTGTTTCCAAATTCACATTCCAAACACTAGTAATTATTAGTACATCTTGATTACATATTTGATTAACTTTAGACTGCAAAAGTTGGTAAAATCTTCAATTATCTTCACTTTTGGCTTTAGTGGTTGATATGTTAAGTTTTAATAATAGTCATATTAACTGGTCTTCCTTGTAGGTGTACGGCTATTATCCTATCACTAACAGCACTGCACTTCAGTACAGATCTTGAAAAGTTCATTTTGACAATGAATGGGATGTCACTCCTCTTTAAGTGGTCATTCCTAGCATAGTATATCATATGACTGTCCAATTCAAAATGGTCAATGCCAGTCCATTAGCTCACTAATGGCTAAGATATTGATTTATGCGTTCCATTTCATTTTTAACAACTTCCAATTTTCCTAGATTCATACTTTGTACATTCCACATTCTGATTATCAACCAATGTTTGCAGCTGTTTCTTGGCTTTTTCAGTACATCAGCAAATGAAGGTACCGAAAGCTTTACTC